TCCTTTGTTGCCCGGGCGGTATGTTTGGGATCATTGTCATGTTGGAAGACCCAGCCATGTTTCATCTTCAATGCCCTTGCTGATGGAAGGAGGTTTGCACTCAAAATCTCACGATACATGTCCCCATTCATTCTGTCCTGTACATGAATCAGTCATCCTGGTCCCTTTTTGGAGAAACAGCCCCAAAGCATGATGTTGCCACCCCCATGCTTACAGTAGGTATGGTGTTTTTTGGATGCAACTCAGCATTCTCTCTCCTCCAAACACGACGAGTTGTGTTTCTACCAAACAGTTCTATTTTGGTTTCATCTGACCATATGACATTCTCCCAATCCTCTTCTGGATCATCCAAATGCTCTCTAGCAAACTTCAGACGGGCCCGGACATGTACTGGCTTAAGCAGGGGGACACATCTGGCACTGCAAGATCTGAGTTCCTGGCGGCGTAGTGTGTTACTGATGGTAGCCTTTGTTACGTTGGTCCCAGCTCTCTGCAGGTCATTCACTAGGTCCCCCCCGTGTGGTCCTGGGATTTTTGCTCACCGTTCTTGTGATCATTTTGACCCCACGGGGTGAGATCTTGCGTGGAGCCCCAGATGGAGGGAGATTATCAGTGGTCTTGTATGTCTTCCATTTTCTAATTATTGCTCCCACAGTTGATTTGTTCACACCAAGCTGCTTGCCTATTGCAGATTCAGTCTTCCCAGCCTGGTGCAGGTCTACAATTTTGTTTCTGGTGTCCTTTGACAGCTCTTTGGTCTTCACCATAGTGGAGTTTGGAGTGTGACTGTTTGAGGTTGTGGACAGGTGTCTTTTATACTGATAACAAGTTCAAACAGGTGCCACTGATACAGGTAATGAGTGCAGGACAGAGGAGCCTCTCAAAGAAGAAGGTACAGATCTGTGAGAGCCAGAAATCTTGCTTGTTTGTGGTGACCAAATACTTATTTTCCACCATAATTTGCAAATAAATTCTTTCCAAATCATGCAATGTGATTGTCTGGATTTGTTTTTCTCATTTTATCTCTCATAGTTGCGGTCTACCTATGATGCCAATTACAGGCCTCTCTCATCTTTTTAAGTGGGAGAACTTGCACAATTGGTGGCTGACTAAATACTTTTTTGCCCCACTGTATAGACTGCAATCAGTGTTTTTTGGCAGGGGCGATTTTTGGCTGGAAAAAACCCCAGAACTAGTGGGTTTCTAGAGGAGTTTTTTAGCTGTAAAAAAAAGTTCTAACGCTGAAAAACGTGGTAAAACGTGGTAAATCGTGGCATTTTTAAACTTTTTAAAAACAAAATCCCACTAAAAACTGCAAACGTGAAAAAACATGACAAAAACGCTGCTAAACGCTGTTGCAAATATGCTAAAAAATGCTGAAAACTCAAATTTTTAATGTGACTTTACACAGCTAACGTTACCAGTGTTATTAAAATGCCCAGTGTGCATGGAGCCTTAGAGCATATTTACAGCTAAAAAAACTCCTCTAGAAATCCACTAGTTCTGGGGGTTTTTTCCAGCCAAAACCCCCCCCTGCCAAAAAACGCTAATTACAGTCTATGTGTGCATGGACACATAGGATAACATGCTGGGGATTTACTGGCTGTAGAAAAAAAACATCAAAAGCCAAAAACAGCAGCTGTAAAAATGCCCATTGTGCATGAGGACTTATTGTCATACTGTACAATATGTGTGCTGTAATCATCATGCTCTATTGACTTTGTTTGTAAAGTCTATGACTAATACTTCTTGTTCCCTCAGTAGTGTGCAGACTGCTATGTATTAGCAACACCAAGGCAAAAATATGCGTTGCAAACGTTTACAAATATAAACTAAACCAGTAATTTTTTCACTCACATTATTTCTCAGGTTTCTGGTCTCCCACAAAAAGATATCACTTTGCATGAGATGCTAGTACATTGGACTTTACTGGAAGCTACAGCTTATCCACAGAATTATAATTTAACATCTAGAGAGCATGCATACCTACCTTTGGATATAACTTAAAAACATCTGATCATTTGCAGCCATTTCACTTCTGTTAAGAGTTAAGAACAAACACATCTTGGAAACAGAAGAATATCTGTGTTTTATATTTCTTGATCGATGCAACCTTGGTCAATACTGTGATGACAGTGGTAGAACAATGCCTTAACATGAAAGCTCACTCATATACTCTGTAACACATTGTCAATCTTTTTACTAAAACATGTACCTAGGAACTCTGCCTTCAACCCACTTGTCAAAAAACCTCTCTGCAGACCACAGAACTTTTTTCAATAGTCTATATCATGAAGGATAGTTTCTTCCAAAGACTAAAGTAACTGTTTGTGCTTGCAAGGGTTCTAGGGACTCACAATACAGTATGTTGCTACATTTTGCTATGCATAAAGGCTTTTTCACTGAAATATTTTCTGATTTATCTCTTAGAAAAAGATGTACATATTGAAAACTATAATGGAGCATGTTAAAAACCATATTCAGTTCAACTGTAAAAAATAAAATAGAATACCTGTCAGGGACCCCAGAGCTGGCCACGATCGCGCGCGGGTTTGCGCATGCGCAGTGTGCCTAGTCGCACTAGCGTGTGAGCATTGGGACCTGGGCATCCGCGATTGCAGTGGTGCTTGCGCATGCGCACTCGCGACTCGCGATCGCGGACGCGTGCCTGCCGCCAATCAGGGCGCCCTATTTAAACAGGTCAGGTCTGACTCTAGTTGCCGTAGGATCTTACCTGTATCCTGAGTTCCTGTATTGTAGATTGCCTTGTTGCCGACCCTGCCTGACCCTGATTTGCTGTCTGTCTCCTGTCCTGATCCCTGGCTTGTCTGACCTCTCCTGCCTAACCCTGCACGTTCTGATCTCCTGTTCATGAACCCAGCTTGTGACCTGTTTATCCTCCTGCCTACTGATTTGGTACCGCTCTGCCTCCACCGTTACCGACCCGGCCTGACCGACCCTGCTCTCGTTACCTCCTCACATCAGGCTCTCACCTGCTATACACCTCCAGTGGTGCTCCTACCACAGCTGGGTGAACACAGGGGCTGCGACCTGGTCTCGGCCTGCTCCAAGTCCATCCCCACCATCAGGGGCCCTGGTGAACAAGCAGGTTGGGACTTAGATTCCGCGCCTTGGGGAATTCCGGTCTGTAGAACGCTAGAGGCTACCACCGGCAGGGACATAACAATACCTTTTCAATTTTTTAATCCTTTGTTGCATACTGTATAGTTGTCAGGGCTCCAGGGTATGACCAGAGGTATGTGACTGACGCAGGGAAACGCAGGCTTCAGATATGTTATATAAATATAATTTATTAACACTAACAATACATAAACGCAGTGCAATACTAAAACATACACAGTGCAAACGAACCAAACCAAACCACCCACAGATAACAGTACATACAATGCAAGCGTTGTCAGGCAGGCCGGGATTATCAACAGGAGGTCAGAACGTATGGGGTTAAGCAAGAGAATGGTCAGACAAAGCCAGGGATCAGGAGCAGGAGAATGGTCAGACAAAGCCAGGGATCAGGAGCAGGAGAATGGTCAGACAAAGCCAGGGATCAGGAGCAGGAGAATGGTCAGACAAAGCCAGGGATCAGGGAGCAGGAGAATGGTCAGACAAAGCCAGGGATCAGGAGCAGGAGAATGGTCAGACAAAGCCAGGGATCCAGATCAGGCAGGGTCAGCAACAAGACAGAAACAGGACCAGGAACAGGAACAGGATGCAGGAACAAGATACAGGGCCCAGGAAAAACACACACCAAGGCAGAGTCTGCAGGTCTGGCCATCCCTTAAATACACCAGTATAAGCAGCTTCAGGTGTTTAGCTGGCTGCAAGGTTGAGTCTCTGATTGCTGGGAGCACCCGCTGGCCAGCCCTGGTACTACAGCCCATAAGGCAGGTGAGTCCCACCATTGCTGGCCAGTCCAATCCTGACAGTACCCCCCCCCTCAAGGAGTGGCATCAGGACGCTCCAAACAGTCCTAGCTGGGCAAAATGTTCCACCGCCCGGGTCTGGTAACTGGCGGGATATCAAAGACTGGCACACCGGGCAGGACTCCGGGCAGCGGCACACCGGGCAGGGCTCCGGGCAGCGGCCCATCGGGCAGCGGCACACCGGGCAGAGGCACATCGGGCAGAACTCCGGGCAGAGGCACATCAGGCTGGACTCCAGGCAGAGGCACATCGGGCTGGACTCCGGGCAGAGGCACATCGGGCAGGACTCCGGGCAGAGGCACATCGGGCAGGACTCCGGGCAGAGGCACATCGGGCAGGACTCCGGGCAGAGGCACATCGGATCACCAGGCGAAGCAGCAGGCAGCGGGGCCCCCAGGTGGAGCAGCAGGCACCGGACCCCCAGGCGGAGCGACAGGTCTCGGGCCCCCAGGCGGAGCGGCGGGCGCCGGACCCCCAGGCGGAGCGGAGTGACAGGTCTCGGGCCCCCAGGCAGAGCGGCAGGTGCCGGACCCCCAGGCGAAGAGATAGGTCTCAGGCTCCCAGGCGGAGCGACAGGTCTCAGGCCCCCAGGCGGAGCGGCGGGCGCCGGACCCCCAGGCGGAGCGACAGGTCTCGGGCCCCCAGGCGGAGCGGCGGGCACCGAGTCACCAGGCACGACAGTGGGGCTCCGAGTCAACTGGCATGACCGCTGGCACTGGGTCAGACATTGGATCGTCTGGCTGGACAGCGGGCATCGGGTCACCAGGCATCAGGTCATTTGGCTCGACAGTGGGCACCGCGTCATCTGGCAAGGCAGTGGGCTCCGAGTCAACTGGCATGACCGCGGGCAGTGGGTCAGACATTGGATCGTCTGGCTGGACAGCGGGCATCGGGTCACCAGGCATCAGGTCATTTGGCTCAACAGCGGGCACCGCGTCATCTGGCAAGGCAGTGGGCTCCGAGTCAACTGGCATGACCGCGGGCACTGGGTCAGACATTGGATCTTCTGGCTGGACAGCGGGCATCGGGTCACCAGGCATCAGGTCATTTGGCTCGACAGCGGGCACCACGTCATCTGGCAAGGCAGTGGGCTCCGAGGCAACTGGCATGACCACGGGCACTGGGTCAGACATTGGATCGTCTGGCTGGACAGCGGGCATCGGGTCACCAGGCATCAGGTCATTTGGCTCGACAGCGGGCACTGCGTCATCTGGCAAGGCAGTGGGCACCAAGTCAACCAGGCACGACAGTGGGCTCTGAGTCAATTGGCATGACAGCGGGCCCCGGGTCATCAGGTACCCCGGATTGTCTGGCTCGACAGCGGGCATCGGGTCACCAGGTATGACAGCGGGCACTGGGTCACCAGGCATCAGGTCATTTGGCTCGCCAGCGGGCACCGCATCATCTAGCAAGGCAGTGGGCACCGGGTCACCAAGCATTGGATCGTCTGGCTCGACAGCGGGCATCGGGTCACCAGGTATGACAGCGGGCACTGGGTCACCAGGCATCAGGTCATTTGGCTCGCCAGCAGCGGGCACCGCGTCATCTGGCAAGGCAGTGGGCACCGAGTCACCGGGTACGACAGCGGGCTCTGAGTCAATTGGCACGACAGCGGGCACCGGATCAGGTACCGGATCGTCTGGATCAACAGCGGGCATCGAGTCAACTGGCCTAATAGGATCATCAGGCTGGATCTGTCATCAAACACTAGCAGATATAAATACACAACCTCATCAAGATCCATCCTTCCCATCAACAAACCAAGATGGCTTCCCTGTGCAGCCACTTCTGGTCAGGATTGGCCTTGGTGTAATGTCAGGGCTCCAGGGTATGACCAGAGGTATGTGACTGACGCAGGGAAACGCAGGCTTCAGATATGTTATAAATATAATTTATTAACACTAACAATACATAAATGCAGTGCAATACTAAAACATACACAGTGCAAACGAACCAAACCAAACCACCCACAGATAACAGTACATACAATGCAAGCGTCGTCAGGCAGGCCGGGATTATCAACAGGAGGTCAGAAACGTATGGGGTTAAGCAGGAGAATGGTCAGACAAAGCCAGGGATCAGGAGCAGGAGAATGGTCAGACAAAGCCAGGGATCAGGAGCAGGAGAATGGTCAGACAAAGCCAGGGATCAGGAGCAGGAGAATGGTCAGACAAAGCCAGGGATCAGGGAGCAGGAGAATGGTCAGACAAAGCCAGGGATCAGGAGCAGGAGAATGGTCAGACAAAGCCAGGGATCCAGATCAGGCAGGGTCAGCAACAAGACAGAAACAGGACCAGGAACAGGAACAGGATGCAGGAACAAGATACAGGGCCAGGAAAAACACACACCAAGGCAGAGTCTGCAGGTCTGGCCATCCCTTAAATACACCAGTATAAGCAGTTTCAGGTGTTTAGCTGGCTGCAAAGTTGAGTCTCTGATTGCTGGGAGCACCCGCTGGCCAGCCCTGGTACTACAGCCCATAAGGCAGGTGAGTCCCACCATTGCTGGCCAGCCCATTCCTGACAATAGTCTTTTGCAGCATATTATACAGTATATCCACTTGCCGACCAGTTGCGTACCTGGTACATCACTGGACATCGAGTTGTTGTACTGGGATGATGCCTAAAGCTGCAGGCATCATCCTGGTACCGTGTCAGGAATGGACTCAGCACTGGTGGTGGGACTCACCTGCCATGTGGGCTGCAGTACCAGAGCTGACCAGCGGGTGCTCTCAGCAGCCAGAAGCTCACTTCTGCAATCAGCCAAACCTGGGGCTGATTGCAGAAGGTGTATTTAAGGCATGACCAGGCCTGTGATCTGGGCCTTGGTGTATGTTTTCCCATGAGCCCCTGTACCTGGTAGCTTGTGTTCCTGCTTCGTTGCTGACCCTGCTTGATCCTGACCTCTGCTGACCGTCTCCTGTTTAACCCCTGGCTTGCCTGACCATCCTTCTGCCTGATCCCCTGTACCGCGCTGCCCGTGAGTTACTGAACCCAGCTTGTGACCTTGACCATTCTCTGCCTGCTCCTTTGGTACCTTGCTGCCCGCACGTTGCTGACCTGGCCCGTATGACCACGCTAACTACTCTGCCATCCATCCATCCTGCACGGATCCAGCCGTCCTTGCTCACACCTTCTGCCTCTTCACATCAGGCTTCCTACCTGCACATACCTCTGGAGGATCCCTCTACCACTAGCAGGTGTACTCAGGGGGCCGCGACCTGGTTCCTGTCTGCTCCAAGTCCATCCCCACCATCAGGGTCCCTGGTGAATAAGCAGACTGGGACTTAGACTCCGCGCCCTGGGGAATCCTGTCCTGAGGACCGCTAGAGGTACCACCAAACGGTCATTACAGAACCCTACGGCCGGCCTGACCGTTCCACCTCTTCAGCCCTGACTACGCCTGTATTCCTGCACCTCCTAAGATTAGTGGAAGGTTGGTTTGCTCACTGTGCGTTTATATATATATATCTGGGTGGCTAATAATAAACTGTATTACACTGTACCTGAGGCCTGCGTTTTCCTGTGTCAGTCCACACACCTTTCTGGTCACTCCTAGATTCCTGACATACCGTTTTCTAGAGACAATAGTTGGCTCTCCTGTAATAGCAATCAGAGCTGCTAACCAGCTGCTCAATTGCTATTACAAGCAGTAGGAAGGGACTCTCCCCCCCCCCCCCGCATTACCTTCCACAGCTTTAACAGGATCTTCCGTCCCACCGGTAGTCCCAATCTGCCAGCTGGTCACATGGCTTTGTTTGGCTCTGTGATATAGTAACCTGGAAGCGATGACCTTACATCACTTCCAGTTTACTTAGAAATAAACAGCACCATTTTTAAAAAAGAAAAGCATTTAATCTTGGTGTGATTAAATGCTTTTAAGGGCAGAAGAATAGCTGGAATCACAGGTGTGCATGAACAGCTACAGCTACTCAGCTCAGTAGCAATTGTAGGCTTACCATCACACCTACAATGTGCAAGTTTCTTAAATATGCCATTTCAAACCATTAACATTAACTGAACAACACTTTGGGGCTATAACAAGTTCCACTGGAAAGCATGTCTGTGGGAAATTTGCCCATTTAGTAAAAAGATCCCCTGTGAGGTCTAGTACTGATGTTGAACGAGAAGGTCTGACATGGACAAGCATTTGAGTATATCCCAAAGATTTTCAATAGGGTTGAGGTCAAGGCTCTGTGAAGGCAACTAGGTTCCTCCATACCATGCTCATCAAATCATATCATTTTGGACCTGACCTTTGGGCACAGTCATGTCCTAAAATTGTCATCACAAGGTTGGGAAGCACATAGTTTTTTAATATTTCTTTGTATGCTGTAACATTAACAAGAACCTTCATTGGAAACACCCACACTCAATAATTAGAAGGGGGTGTCACATATGTTTTGCCATATACTGTACTATGTGAGATTATCAGGTCCACAAACATTTGTTGGCTGAGAGACAGCAGAGCCATTGGCTGCTGCAGTCAATCACAGCCAGTGAGAAGGGATTAGCGGCAGGACTGAACCATGCTCGTGTATTTTATGGACACACAGACCTGGCTTGGGAGCGAGCACACAAGTGCCCTCAGAGCAAGCGACTTGCTCTGGGGGCACTCAGCAGGGGGAAGGGCCAGGAGAGTTTGTGGGGGACCTGAGAAGAGGAGGATCAGTATTTCTTCTTTTTTTTAAAAGTAAACCTTTAGTATCACTGTAAACATAAATCTCTGATGTCGGTTGAGTCACTGCACTCATCCTCAGCAATTGCACTCGTTTGCCCTATTCATGATATAATAAGAGACTTAAAACTTGGGAAAAACAATATAATTATTCTATGATTATTTAACATGGAAAACACATTGTGATATCATATAGCAGATTAGTGAGCTGACAAGTGATGACTAAAGAACAATATATGATGACTGGGAAAGCATGCTTACGAGTAAGCCATGAATGATGAGAGATGGAATAAAACATTATTGACATCAATCAAGGTACTACGACTGTATATTGATGAGCTGATGTTGTATTTAGTAAGACATTTGCCTGTCCAACATCACAATGCCATGCTCCCTAGACCCACAATGATATTCTACTAGCCATTGTTAAAAGGTAAATGTTACATAGGCCAGAAACAGGAATAATCATGTTCAGTTATACAGAAATTTTTAATGCATTGATAAAAACTCTAGGTGCAATAATGAGCACTTTCAGCAATCAGAAGTATACCTTATTGCTTGAAGATCACCTGATCTTCGAAATTGATGCTTGAATTAGACAAATCACTTGTGACTTTCAGGCTACGTATGGCCATCCTATGAGGCATGAATTATGGAAATCAGCAAAAACTGGCCAGCAAAAGTTAGAGCTAATGAATAATAAATAAGAAGGAGCAATCAAACAAGAATGTGTGAAGAATTAATATGGTTAGAATGACCTATACCATACTATACCATACTTCCTCAGCACTTTAACATCAATTTATTTTGCATACATTGACACGTTTATTTTTATTTCCGGTTAAAAATGGCTAATCACTTATTTTTTAACATAATAATCACCTTGGTTTCTTTTAAACAAAAAAAAAACAAGGCTTATTTTCAATTAAGTTGATATATAATCAGTATTAATTGCAGTAAAAAAACTCGCCAAAGGAGTACTGTATACCAATTTTGGAAGATTTTACAGTAAAGTTGCCATTCATCCCCAATTTTTTGGGACATCCCCATCAAGGAGGGTCTGTTGCCAGGAAATGGCCATCCTGGGAGTTTTTGCTTTTTATTCCTAACAGAAGGCAGCATTCAAAAATGTTGCGGACAGACTGCTCTGCATGTGTCTGACCATTCATGCTGCTGTGCACACGCAGACTGTTTCAGCCATGATGTGCACTGTGTGTAAGGCAGCATTAGTGGTTAGTTCAAAAATGGCACCAGCAGAGCACCTTGCAAGTGCATGACCATCCATGCTGTCGCATACATGTAGATCGTTCCAGCTGTGCCGTATAGAAGTACATTGGCTTGCAGTGTGCAATGCCACAATCCAGTGGCTCCCAGGGATGATGCTTCAATCTGTGATTGTGAAACAAAATAGAATGTGACTTGGTGCATCCAGTGATGTGCCTCCATCCCACCATTAATATATCTATACGATCAATTTATTTGTCCTGGGACTTTGAATGAGGCACAACACACACGACCAATGAATAACTAGTTTCCAACATTGTTGTTTAACAAATGACTAAATATACTACTTATTGAATACAATAAGAGGATCAAATGGTAACAAGCTTATTTGTAATTAATCCATATTGATGCATTTCATACAAATTTCAATATACTGTTGACCATATACAATCCAGATGTCAATGCATGATTACACTAAAATTGTATCCAAAAACTTAACACATTCTCTGACTCTCTGTTCATTCCTTCAGGAGTAGATGCATTTATAATATCTGTAAATGAGGCTTGCCATTCACAATCCGGATAGGATAGCCAGCAAAAAGAAGATAACCCACGTGTGATGACACAGCTTGAGGATGAACTAGATCAAGAAGCCCTTAATACATTATTGTTACTGCTGGATGACAATGATGATGTAGAGGATGAATATGAAAATCAGTCTTCCATAACCAGGAAACTCTGTAATCTCTTGATAAAATCCACTAAAATGC